GTCTATCATTACAGCTTGTCTGACTAGAAAAATTGACATTTTACAGTATTTGAAAACCATACCATCACATGCTACATACATTTGTATCATTTCAGCTTCTTCAGTTTGATGATATTTTTGTCAAAAATGTAAGGTTACTTTGAATTGATTTGGTAAATGTTAAAGAAATGGCAGGAATATTTGGAGTAATCTTTGTATTGAGATCACTATCAACTGCTTGTTCAGAGCAGTTCATCAGGCAGAACCCCCAGGAAGTATGGGGTCTTGTGTGTAATACAGAAGCCACTTTGGTGTAGGACTGCACCTGTTTTACACCCCAGGGGATCCTGGGAAACCTGGGGTTCATCCCAGGGGGGGGAGTTGATCTAGCCTGAAGCCATTACATAATCACTGGTGGCCTAGTTCCACTGATGGTCTCTTCTAAACATATCTACAACCTCATAAGTAATGTTCAGTAGCAACAAAATTAGGAGGAATATCTATTTTTATCCATATTTAGCAAGGGATGAGCTATCATAACACAAATATAAATAATACACTCTGATAGATAATGTTATCTATTTCCACAGTAATTGTGATTTCAGAAAACTTGTGGAACTAACATTACAAAACGAAGTATCGATACTAAATACATGTGCCTCCTTAGCTTGTAGACATGTTACCTGCTAGGTGTAGCTATACAAGAGACCATGTCAACACTACTAGCTGCAACCCTGACACCAACAGACAGGGCCAGGTCATACATTTAGGTTAACTTACACTTGTCAGCTGGAACACTTAATCCTGTTATTCTATTTATAACTTTATGAAATCATTCTCCATTTAAGAGTAGTCTTCAATGTAGGTTGTACTTTTCATAGCTGTCCTTGAGTTATTTTCAAGAATTTCAAGAATATCTTAAGAATGTATGAGTAAGAGACAGGAGATTTGGGACCCATTAGTCATCAGAGGAAATGGCATTCCCATATGGCTTTATTATCTTGTCCCAAAATGCCCCAGCTATTCTAGCGCCTCGAGATGTTGACGGTATGCCAGACGTTAGTTTTGCGAAACATGAAAACCTATCTCTCCCTACCTTGTGTGGCTGTTTCCTATCAGCAGCACATTCAGTGTTTGAAGCACGAATGTGGAAAACCCTTGGAATGCTGTCGATTGTTATTTTTAAGGAAACTTCTACCCAATGACGACCCGGCCGATGATATAAGGTGACCGACAGGAATGTTTTGAAATTTGATCCCCATAGGCCTAACGTAGCTAGTGTCGTGTATGTTCTAGTTCCCCCCATCCCTGGTCCAAGTGTACAGGCGTAAGCCTTCCCCTTTTCTCTACTTTCCCCCGTTTTTGTGTGCTTTCCCCGCTTTTGTGTGTTTTGTGTGTCCTTGCATATTGTGTTGCATACATATTTGCAACACTTTTGCAACTAAAACCATGTCAGAATCCGCTGTCATTGTGGTGGAAGAGAAGAGCCCGGAGAAACCAAGGAAAAAGCGTAGGCATCGTCACAAGGAGGTTAGTACCTAACCAGTAGTAGAGCGATGTCATTATTGCCTGGTCCTCTTGATTAGTTGGTTCTGATCTATGCTATATGATTTTCGCAGTGACTGGGTGGTAATCTAGCGTATGTTTTAATGTATCTTTGCTCATTTGTCAGTGGAAGTCGGTTTAGCTCCCCTCCCGCGGCCTCTTTGTGCTATATTTGTTGTAAGGGTGGCAAGGACACGTTGATACTTGGAAACAACAGCTGGGTGTAATATGATCTCTCGGTTCAAAGATCACACAACCCCTTATATCAAGTCTGGCCGGAGACATCTAGATCAAGGTTAAGTCTCCTAGTGAAGGTTCAGTGTAGGTACTGAGGTCTCTGTGTGGTGCGACTTTGCCAACGACCTTGTGAAATATCATGGGGAGATAGGGGAAGTATTCCATGTTGACTGGGTCATCTGTGCACCTGTTTCTGCTGTCAATCAATCATGATGGGCGGTACCCTCCTCCCATCCTTAGGACATTCACACCCTGAGCTCCATACATGGGGAGTACTTGAACGGGATATTTGAACATCAAGAGATGGGATGCAACACGTCAAGACTGATTTTGAAGTCATTGAGCTGCCTTTTTGAGAGCTTTATATTGTCACCAGACTGGGAATTCAGACAGACAGACATGTATGATTGTAATGCTGTGCTATTTTTACATACGGATGTTGCATCAGATTAACTCTGCTCTACTGTCGTAATAAAACTGTTGTTTTGTATGATGTGTTGTATCATGCTTGTATCAAATAGCTCTCTCTTTGCCTGTAGCAATAGTTTTCTGAGATCAGCAGTCTTAGATTTAAGAGAGACAACATACATTGATCTGTAAAATTCTGTTGCAATGTCCTGAACTACAGCCAGAATGCCAATTAGAGGCGGCCAGGCTGTGGAGGCGGTCTGAACTGCGGTGATTATTGGATGTATGTTGCAGAGGCATCATTGCCATTTCAGGCATACCTCGAGTGGCAGCTGGCTCCCTCTTTTCCATCTTGCCATTTATTAACCGCATAGTCTATTGCAGCCATAACTTGGAGCTCAAGACTGATACCACTTTGGTAACATCACTTACCGTAAGAGTAATTGCAAGTCTCCCCCTCCCTTGACTTTGAGCTTTAAAGTCAATGTCAACCATGTGAAATGACTTGTAGAAAGTAGAACAGCAATGTGTGTGTGTAATAATATATGGGTGTCTCTAAATGGAATGTGCCATGATGCGGGTTTTATTTTTAGCACAACGTCACTCTCTTGGTCTTCAAGCCTCCAGACGGTAATTTTTTTATGACCGTCTATTGTCATTGGCAGTTCGGAATACGTTTTTCCGGTCGGAACTTGGACGTATGACGTGAGAAGGATGCCCTGTTTATGAATCGGAGGCTTGGGACCCGTGGAAGAGCCTTTCCTCACTGGTGTCATGTCAGACTGTGAAATTTGATGGTTCGGAGTGGGTGACTCTGTTATAAATATATATCTGGGGTTGTCCCAGTCTCCACCGAAGGGGCAGCATTTGTGGAATCCAAGGGTAGATCAGAGTGGTATTGCGGGACCAAAAAATGGAGGAAGGGAAGGCGCATTTAGCCGAGCCAGAAGTCATCGAAATTGGAACGGTAACTAGAATCACACCTTCCTTTTGCAGACTTATGAGGGCAAACATAGGCGACGTACTTTCCTTGCACTTTTGTTTGCTAAGGACATGTTTGACAGCTGCTAACTCATTAGCCGGAAGCCGAGGGGGGCAGGGCACCCTCTCCCTGCTTCTGTATTCATAACACTACTGCTGCTGGCACATCTAGCATTCAAACCATGGCTGGGGACTGATTAACCCACTGAACATTTTACAATTGCTTCATTTTTTGGATTGAGGGTTGAGAGGGGGAATGTATAGTTTGGTGTTGTAGTTGGTGGGGTTGGTGCTGTTCACAGTGTCATCCCCAGGGCTAGACGGCAACAGGAACATCTGAAGAATGCTGCCAAAACAAGGCAGAGGGTGCCTGCGGCAGGGCTGTCCTGTGGCACTCTGGCATGCCATACGTGGTCAAGACATGATCCGGCCTGATTACGTATCTCGTCCCTCTTGACCTCCAAGCTCCCTTAATTACTCATCTGTAATTCTCCCACGCATCCTTCATTTGAATGTAATTAATTCCCAGCCACAATAACATAGCTGATATTATATAATGCCCATATACCAAAATTAAGGTCATGCCCAGACATGTACAGTGTCAGTGTGGGTGTGGTTGACAGTTGCACTGCTGTTGCAAAGTCAATGTTAAGAACATCAATTTATCAGAACTGCTAGTCGAATCATCTTGGCTCTCCTACATTTATTATATACTGTGACTGTATGTTTGTACATCAGTCCAGAAAAGTTAACAGCTTTTATTGTTTTAATGGACTACAAGTTTAAGTTTCATACATCGTAGTTCATGTAATTTTTAAATTGGAACTTTTCATGTTCACCATTGCATCCCCCTGCCAAGTCCATTACCGCAATGACTTTTCCATGTGTAAAACGGAGCCTGGCAAATGGATTATGTCCAATCCCTGCAACATGCTGCGTTCCATCTATTTCCTTACACACTGATGCATCCTTGTCTGCGTGAAGGTGCCTGGGTAGTATTTGTCTTGCTAGATTTGGTTCTTTAGCAATGAATGAAGTGTGGACAATGTGCAGTCTGGTGATAACAACTCTAATGTAGACTGAAAGTCTGATTTGGATGGGTGGATGGATGGATGGATGGATGGATGGATGGATGGATGGATGGATGGATGGATGGACAAATGCATAACTGGACGAATTGAGTATTTAACTAAAGGAAAGATTGAGTAAATAAAGAGGGATAGCTAGGAATACATTGTGTCAGAGACAGACTGAATGAATGAACAAATGAAGGAATGAATGAATTAAAAAATGGGTTAAAATTGGATGTAAAGATGCGGTATCAGAAGACTAAGTAAGATCTACATCCTCGTGCTAATGAAATTAAGATCTTGTCACTGATGATGCCCTCACCTTGGGTGACTTGGAGGTCTCAAAAATGGGATCTTCAATCTAATGATGTGATCAATAAGATTTGGTTTGGTTATCCTTACCTGACCTCCTTAAGGGGTCCAGACAAATTAAGGGCACATTACCTGCATGCACCAGTACACTCAAAGTTCTGGGCTGGTTGCAGAGACCCTGTTATGCCTTTCTACTTACTTGGGTATCTGATAACCCATGAGGAAAAGGCAAGCTTTCCCGTAAATGGCAGAAATATGTCTCTGAAAAAATCATTTGAATTGACTTTTAAAAAGTATTTTAAAACTAAATAAATTTTGTATAGGTCTCTGATTAGGTTTTATGGATCCTTGTTACGTTGTATGTTCCCAAGAGAAGGTAATGAGATGCTGAGTTTGAAGGTGAAAGTACATGGTATTTGATACATGTTGTCATGGTAACTCATGTCTGTATTTCGTCCTGTTTTACAGAGTGATGGGAATGCGAGTTTCCTGCGTGCAGCACGAGCAGGGAACTTGGACAAGGTGTTGGAATACTTGAAGGGTAGCACAGACATTAACACAAGTAACGCAGTAAGTACCCATCTTTGCAGTCTTTCAGGCCATAACAGTTTAATATGTTGCTTCTTGGATTTTGTAAGAAAAAAATATGAAGTCACTGGGCGAAAAAAGGACCAATGCAAAAATCCC